CTGATGGGACTGGCCACCGGCACCACTCTGTGCCAGCATGCCAACGCCGTCACCGAGGCCGCCCGCGCGCTGGCTGCCGCCCGTCCCGCCCGGGGGGTGGCCTTCCAGGCCCACAGCGTGGCGCCCGGCTCCTTCGTGGCCCGGGACAACGTGGCCACCTTCATCGGCTGGTGCCGGGCGGAGCTGGGGGTGCCCGAGGTGCTCATGTTCGAGACGGAGGACCTGGTGCTGCGCAAGAACGAGAAGAGCGTGGTGCTCTGCCTGCTGGAGGTGGCGCGGCGCGGGGCCCGCCTCGGCCTGCTGGCCCCGCGCCTCGTGCAGTTTGAGCAGGAGATCGAGCAGGAGCTGCGCGCCGCGCCCTCGGCCCCCCACGCCCCGGCCGCTGAGGATGAGGAGGGCACCCCCGAAACCGCGGCTGCACCAGGGGCTCCCACCCGAGGGCCCCGCATGACGCCCATGGACCTCCGCAACCTGGACGAGCTGGTGAGTCCCGTCCTGCTAGCCTCTCACCCTGCGCTGTGCCAGGACCGGACGGCAGAGCCGGTGCCCACAACTGGTCCTGAACCTCTGCAGGACAGCCTGTCCCGGGGAAAGGGTGCATATATTGAGCACTAAATGCATACCTCGCACCCAGGAGATGAGCAGACCGACAGAGGGAGAGGTCTTGGGGAGGTCACGAGCCCCAGCCGACCTGGGATACAATCGGAGCCGATTGCACGGGTGCCCACCTTCCTTTACCTAACCAGGCACCAGACAAGGGCGGGTGTTCCTTCATCCAGGGGCCACGTGCTCTGAGCCCCTCCCGTGTGCCCTCAAGTGCTAGGCAACTGCATCCACGTTGCTCAATGCGAAGTGGGTGCCTGGGACCCTTGGCCCTGGACAAGGTGCCGGCGCACAGTAGGTGCTCAGTGGTGCCTCGGGAAGTTCCCAAGGGCTCCACTGGCCCCTCCCACTCCCCAGCGCCCTTCCCACATCACTTATGGGGAAGCCAAGCCCAGAGCTGCTGCTGGGAGCTGCAGAGTTAGTTGACTTGAGCACAGGAGCGGCCAGACCATGCCCCCAGCTCCCTCTCCCCCCGGGACCTCGGTGTCCCTGACACCCCCGCAGCCAGGCCAAGAGTTTCCACCTTATCAAGGGCTTGGGGCTGCGATGTGCCAGTTCTGGAGGGCAACAGCCGGATGGCGTGGGCAGAGGCTGCCACCCCACCCCCGTCCTGGGCCAGGGTCACCCGAGGCTCCACCTGCTCATTTCCTCCCGCTCTGCTGTGGGCAGGGAGGCAGGCGGGGCCGCCCACATAGCCAGCCTGGCAGCTCAGGGCCTGGAGGGACATGTGCGTAGATGTCTGCTCACCGTGCGGGTGGCCTGTGCGTGCATGTTGGTGTGTCTGTGGTATCCCTGCCTCCTCCCGGGACCTGGCCTCCCTCTGGGCCTCAGTCTTCATGTCTGTGAAGTGGTGAAGGGGGAGTGGGGATGGCTTCCAGGGCTGCCCCCCAGGCTGAGGGGCTTTGGGGATGTGCCCCGCTGGGGCCCCAAGTCCTGGCCTGACCACAGCCCCGCCATCTGACAGCCAAAGGGGAAGGAGAGCTGGTGAAAGGTCAAGTGCAGAGGCTACACGACGTCTGGGGCCACAGAGTCCAAGCTCCACTTCCCCGGAAGGACCTCCTTCCTCCTGAGCCTGGAGTGACTGACAGCAGGCTCTGGGAGGAGGGGCTTCCCCCCTGACCCCCAGCCTCTCCTCTGGCCTCAGGTGAGGGAGATCCTGGGCCACTGCACCTGCCCGGACCAGTTCCCCATGATCAAGGTCTCCGAGGGCAAGTACCGCGTCGGAGACTCCAGCCTGCTCATCTTCGTGCGGGTGAGAGAGGGGCTGCCTGCAGCAGCCGCCCCAGGGCCGGGCGCCGAGGCCCCGGGACAGGCTGTGACCGGCCCTTGGCGGCTCCCACAGGTGCTGAGGAGCCACGTGATGGTGCGCGTGGGTGGCGGCTGGGACACGCTGGAGCACTACCTGGACAAGCACGACCCTTGCCGCTGCTCCTCCACCGGTTGGTGCCCTCGGCCGGGCAGGCGGGCAGGGGGCTCCTCTCTGTGCTCCACCCCTCACCTGCCGCCTGTCTGCCCCCTGCAGCGCACCGCCCGCCCCCGCCGAGGACCCAAACGTTCTCCCCGCAGAGGGTGTCACCCACTCCCAGCCCCCGCGCGGGCAGCCCAGCCCCAGGGGGTGAGCGGCGAGGCTCCCGGCCAGAGGCGACGGCCATGAGCTCACGAAGCGCCAAGGAGGGGCCCGAGACCCCACTCAGGTGAGAGGCAGGAGGACATGGAGGTGAGAGGTCTAGAAGGCGGGGATGGCGGTGGGAGCGTCAGCCCTGGCCTGGATGATGCAGGAGCCTGTGCTTGGGAGTGACTCACACCCTGGGAATAGTTCCCGTGGGTGGGGGCAGGCCTAGCTTCCCGTCTCCATGGCAACCCAACCAAACTAACAACACAGCTGGGGCGGGCCCTGGGGCTGGGTGGCAGCCAGTTCAACCAACCCTGCTTCCCTCCGGCCTGGCCCAGGAAACAGGAGGGCTGGAGCTTAGGGCCCGGGAGGCCTTGCTTCTTCCGCTGCCTTGGGGTTGGGGGGAGGGGGAGGGGGAGGAGCAGGGGAGCCCTGGCTGCAGGAAGCGGCTGCAGAGCCTCACTTCTCCCTGGAAGTCCCCAGGACAGACACGAACCCCCACCAAACCCCGCAGCACCACAGGTGTCTTCCCCGCCTCCTACCGACCACAGATGTGCGTCTTCCTTCCTCTCCCTGCCCTTCCCGCTCGCCAGTCCTCTTTCCATGACGCCCCGTCTCTCTTGTTCCCCCGCCCCAGGGCCCGGGATCAGCTGCCCCCGCATCCCCGCTCCCGACGCTACTCTGGGGACAGCGACTCTTCAGCCTCCTCCGCCCAGAGCGGCCCCCTTGGTGCCCGAAGTGATGACTCGGGCACTGGCCCCCGGAGGGAGCGGCCCGGCCGGCGGCTGACCACCGGCACCCCAGCCTCCCCGAGACGACCCCCCGCCCCGCGCAGCCAGTCCCGAGACCAGCTAGATCGGGGGCGGCCCCAGGAGGCCCCACGAGGCCGGAGAGCCCAGCTGTCCACCCCCAGCCCTGCCCGGCGCGCCCGGAGCCAGAGGAGAAGCAGGCTGTTCTTGTTTGTGCGTCGGGACCAAGACGGGCAGCACACTTGGGTGCCACGCGTTAGGGCCGGTGGGGGCTCAGGCAGGAGCAGCCCCCACACTCCCCGTGCCCGCAGCCCTGCAGCCCCCCGGCCGCCCCGGGTCTCCAGCCCTAGGCCAGAGCTGGGAGCCACGCCGGCCAGCGTCTTCCGCACCCCCTTGCAGCTTGACCCGCAGCATGAACAGCAGCTGTTCCGGCGCCTGGAAGAGGAGTTCCTGGCCAACTCCCGAGCCCTTGGGGCTACTGCTGGGGGCACCCCCACTGGACCCGCCCCTGACCCGGCTCGGGCCCCGGACGCTCCCGGCCCTGACTCGGCCTACTGTTCCTCCAGCTCCTCCTCTTCGTCCCTCTGCGTCCTGGGTGGCAAGTGTGGCCAACCAGGGGACTCTGGCCGGGTGGCCAATGGGCTGCCCGGGTGCCGGGGGCCAGCCCTGTCCAGCTCTTCCGATGAAGGCAGCCCCTGCCCTGGTGTCGGGGGGCAGCCAGATGCATCTGGGAGTCACCTGGCTGGCCCTGAGCCCCCGAGGACCTGGGCACGGGGCCGGATGGACACACAGCCCGACGGGAAACCCTCACGAATTCCCACGCCTCGGGGCCCCCGCCGCCCATCCGAACCCACGGTGCCCGGGGCCTGGCGTGCCCTGCACTCGGTCAGCCCACGGGTGGAGCCGGATTCCTGGATGTGACGGACCAGCCCAGCTGCCTCCAGGCCCCGCTGCTCCCTCTTCCTTTTCCTTTGTGGCCTTAACCCTCCGCATCAGGGAACACCCACCCCCCACACCTCTCGGGTACCAGACCTCATGGGACCAGACCCCTTACATGGCACAATGGGACCTCTTGTACATTCCGATCGGGGGATGAGCATCGCTATTTAATTACTAATATTATTGAATGCCTTAGAGGAGCCCAACGAGGACCCTCCCGTGGCCCTGCAGAGCCTGACAGTAAAGTTTTGTTCCGGCCACTTGTGTCTGATTCTTGTCTGTTTCATCCTTGGGGCCATCACACCCTCGTCACATGCTGGGATTCTGGACTTAACTCCCGGGGCCAAGCCTGGCAACTCCGTTTTCTAGACGTAAAACGACCCTGCCCATCCCAGAAACGCCAGGTGCACTTGCAACGGTTCCCTCTTTATTATCTCCTGGAAGGTGTGGCTTAAGGCTCGGCCCAATGAGGCTCCCGGAGCGGCCTGGGAGCTTCCAACCAGATTCACAGTCACGTTCCTTGGGCTCGTGAACGACTCAATGGTACCCAGAAGGTTCTGATCTTGTCTGATGAGGCTTGGGGCCTGTCTGGGTCCAATTGAAATTCAAAAAAAAGGCCTGTCGCCCAGGAAACTGGGTGGGAGCTCCCCTCATCCAATCAGGGAGGAGACTGTCCTGTCCAATCCGAAGGAAGCTGGGCCAGCTCCTCCAATCCAGGCCCCTGGTTGGTCCAAAGGGTCCGGCTCCCCCAGCAGCTTCGCGGTCCACTTTGGTCACATGAGGCTGCAGTGTGCGGGGTGCAGCGCCCCCTGCAGGCGCAGGGCGGGGTGAGCGGGCCGCGCGCGCACCAGGATGCAGCGGAGCAGCTCGCGGAAGAGGCGCAGCACGTGCCAGTTGTACTTGGCCGAGCACTCGAGGTAGCCGCAGCGCCAGCCCCTGCGCACCAGGGCGGCCAGGGCGCGCCTAGGCCCAAAGCGCAGCCGGCTGCCGGTCCCGCTTGTTGCCGACCACGAGGATGGGCGCCTCGGCGCCCCTTCCGGGCCTGGGGGGGCCAAAAAAGCCATGAGGGGGCGGTGCGGGGAACCCACGCCAAAAAATCCCCC